TGTCTATCATTACAGCTACTTGGAAGGATGAGGTGGAAGGATCTCATGAGCTCAGTAGTTCGAGGCTGTGGTAGCTGTCAGTGTGCCACAGCACTCCAGCCTTGGTGACAGAGTGCAACTCTAACTCAAAAAATAAAATAAAATAAAATAAAATAAAATAAAAATAAAGTATATATATATTACAAAGTTACAGAAAAAAACAATGTGGTTCAGGAACACAGGAACCAACAAATATGAAACAGAATAGAAAACTTCAAAATAAACCCCTATGAATATAATTAAATGACTTTTGATGAGGTTGATATGACCACACAATTGAACAAAGATTGTTGTAAAACTGGTAGTAGATAAAGGAAAATATTATAAAGGACTCTTCCATCATACAAAAACTATCCAAAATGATAAAAGACAAATGTACAAACTAGAAAGTTATTAGAATGAAATCTAGGATGGAGATTCAGACACTGATCATGACAATACTTTCTTAGATCTAGCATCAAAAACATTAGCAACAAAAAGAAGTAAAATGGGACTAATGACTCAAAGCAAAAAATCTTCACATAATGGGAAACATTCAGTGGAGAAAATATGTCTCCTAAAGAATGAGAGAAGGCCGGGCATAGTGGCTCAGCATACAATCCTAGCACTTTGGGAGGCCGAGGTGAGAGGATTGCCTGAGCCTGTGGTTTTCAGACCCACCTGGGCAACTTGGCAAGACCTTATCTCTACAATAAGTCAAAAATTAGCCAGGCATGATAGCACACGCCTGTAGTTCCAGCTACTTGGAAGGCTAAAGCAGAAGGATCACAGGAGCCCAGCGGGTCAAAGCTGTGGTGGCTGGGAGCATGCCACTGCCCTCCAGCCTGGGTGACAGAGACTCCAACTCAAAATAAAAAAAAAGAGTGAGAGAAAACATTTGAAGTTTACATATTTGATAAGAGTTGCTATTAAGAATATGTAAGAAATTCCTAAAATTCAACAGAAATTGAATAACATGATTTTAAAAATGGACTTAGAAAAAAAATACTTCTTCCAAGATTTACAAATGACCAACAATTTCTTTTTTTTTTCTTCTTTTTTAGAAAGCAAGAATTGGAACCACACCTCATCAACATGTTTACCTGCACAATGCATATTTGTGTAACTAACCCTGAATTTAACCTCACAATTTTAAAATAAAAATTGTAAAGGTGAAGAAAAAGACACCTGACAACCTAAATTTGAATTCTAAAAAAACAAAAGGAAACAAAAGGCAGGATTTAAGAGGATAGAAAATGGGAGGGGACATGAAGGGGTTGCCCCAACAACCATTTCAAAAGATGTTCAAAGTGACAAATGCTGAGAGAAATACAAAGAGAAAGTTTGATGACATATGACCTCACAACATTAGGATGACCACTATCAAACAAACAAAATCACAAGTGTTGTCAAGAATGTGGAAAAGTGGAACCCTTGTGCATTGTTCCTACAGGGGAAAAAAATGATATAGCCATTATGAAAAGTAAAATGAAAATTCCTCAAAAATGTTTATCCTAGAATCCAGTATTTCCATTTGGAGTATATACCCAAAGTATGAAAAGCAGACCTGAAACAGATATTTGCACACTCATGTTTATTGCAGCATTATGTACAAAAGCCAAAAGGTGAAAGGAACCGATATGTCCACCAATGAGTAGATAGAGAGAATATATACAACAGAATACTATTCACCCTTAAAAAAATTTTTGTTGCCCAGGCTCGTTGGCTCAGCCTGTAATTTCAGCACTTTGGGAGATTGAGAAGAGTGGATTGCCTGAGCCCATGGGTTTAAGACCAGCACCGGCAACTTGGACAGATCTCATCTCTACAATAAAATAAAAAATAGCTGGGCATGGTAGCATGCATTTGGTAGTTCTGGCTACTCAGAAGGCTGAGGCAGAAGGATCGCTGGAGTCCAGAAGATCAACACTGGGGTGGCCATGAATGTCCCCCTGCACTCCAACCTTGGCAAAGAAGTGAGACTCCAACTCAAAAAACACAAACAAAAAACCAAAAAATACTCTGTTGGCCAAGTATAATGGCTTAGCTTGTAATCCAAGCACTTTGGGAAGCTAAGATAAGAGGACTGCTTGAGCCCAGGGTTTCAAGACACTCTTGGGCAACTTGGTGAGACCTCATGTCTATAATAAAAAATAAGCCGGGAATGGTAGTGCGTGCCTGTAGTTCCAGCTACTTAGAAGGCTGAGGTGGAAGTGTCACTTGAGCCCAGCAGGTCGGGGCTGTGATGACTGTGAGTGTGCCACTGCACTGTAGCCTGGGTGACAGAGTGAGACTCCAACTTCAAAAAAATTTTGTTTTCATGAATTACAGTAAGAATAAATCTTGTGAACATTACGTTAACTTAAATCCACACTATCCTCCAGACATGGTGGTTCATGCTGGAAATTTTAGTATTTTGGGAAGCTGACACAGGAGAATCACCTGAGTCCAGCAGTTCAAGACCAGCCTAAGAAATACAGCATAGCAACACTTTTTTCCTACAAACAAAACAAAACAACAAATCAACCAAGATGGTAGCAAGAGCCTATAATTCCAAATACATGAAAGGCTAAGGTGGAATGATCTCCTGAGCTCAGAAGCTGTGGTAAGTCTTGATTACGCCCTTGCACTGCAGCCTGAGTGACATAAAGAGACCCCAACTTAAAAATATATATATCTTAACAGATTGCAAAACTTTATTTTTTGAGTTGGATTCTCACTCTTGTGGCCCAGAATGGAGTGCAGTACCATGTTTACAGCCACCACAGCCTCAACCTACTGGGCTTAGGCAATCCTTTTCCCTCAGCCTTCCAAGCAGCAGAAAAATTTCTTAATATGGATTCTGGCAATGATTTTCTTTATATGACACCAGAAGTACAGTATCAAAAGAAAGCGTAAACAAGTTGAACTGCATCAATATAAAAAAAACTTCTGGACAGTAAAGATAACACTAAGAAGGCTTAAGGATAAGAGAAAATATTTGGAGACCATGTATCTGATAAGAGTTTAAATCCAATATATTCACAAAACTCATACAAATCAAAGATCAAACAATTAAATGATAACCACTTGACTGAAAGAATGAAGTTATTTTTCCAATAAAGACCAATTGCCAACAGGTACCTATTTTTAAAATGGTGCTCAACATCACCAAATAACAGGCAATTGCAAATAAACACATTGATGAGAAATCATCTCACACTTGTTAGGATGGCTAATATCAACCAAGAGAGAGATAAAAGTTGACAAGGATGTGAAAAAAAAAGAAATCCTGTACACTGTTGGTGAGTTTTAAATTGGTAGAATCATTATGAACAGTCTTTACAAAATAAAAATAAATAAACCACCATACAATCCAGCAATCCCCTTTCTGTGTATATAACCAAAGGAAATAAAATCAATATCTCAAAGTATCAACAACCCTATGTTCACTGCAGCATTTATAACAATGGTTAAGCTGTCAAAACAACCTAAATGTTTGTGAATGCTGAGTGAATTAAGCAACTATGGTGCATATATAGATAGGATATCATTCATCCACAAAAAAAAAAAATCCTGCCATCTCAACATCATGGATAAAACTGTAAGATATACGCTAAGTGAAATAAGCCAGGCACACAAAGGCAAATACTGCCTGACCTCACTTATGTGTGGAATCAAAAAAGAGTACACTCATAAAGGGAAGGGAGAAAGTCCAATCATGGGACCATGACCTCAGGTGGGGAAAATGCTGTTTAAAGAATACAAGGTTTCAGTTATAAGATAAATGATTTTTAAAAGATCTAATATATAACATAGTGACTATAGCTAATAATGGCTTTAATACTTAAAAAATTTACTGAAACTGCATAATGAACATTAGTATACCTAACCCTGAATTGCACTCCACATCTTAAAAAAAAAAAAAAAAAACATGCTGAAACAGTGGACCTGAAGCACTCTCATTACAAAAAATTAAAAGGGCAACTATGTGTGATGATATATATTTTCACTAACATTATTGAATTCATTGACTCACAAGATATAAACATATGAAATCATTTCATTGTATACAATAAATATGAGATTAAAGACCAGGCATGGTGGCTCACACCTGTAATCCCAGCACTTTTGGAGGCCGAGGTGAGAGGATTGCCTGAGCCACAGGTGTGAGACCAGCCTGAACAACTAGGTGACCTCATCCCTACAACAAATCAAAAATTAGCCGGGCGTGGTAGCACGTGCCTGTAGTTCCAGCTACTTGGAAGGCTGAGGCGGAAGGATTGACTGAGCACAGCAGGCCAAAGTTGCAGTGGATGTGAACATGCCACTGCACTCCAGCCTGGGCAGCAGAGTGAGAGTACAATCAAAAAAACCAAAAAAGTAGTTTACAGTCGGGCACAGTGGCTCATGCCTATAATTCCAGCACTTAGGGAGACCAAGGTGAGAGGATTGCCAGGACTCACAGATTAAGACCAGCCTGGACAACTTGGTACGACCTCATCTCTACAATAAGTTAAAAAAAAATAGCTGGGAATGGAGATGTGTACCAGTAATACCAGCTACTTGGAAGGCTGAGATGAGGATAGCCTGGGCCCAGCAGGTCAAGGCTGCTGTGAGCATGACCCTGCACTCCAGCCTGAGTGACAGAGTGAGAATCCGCCTCAAAAAAAAAAAAAAGTTTACTGTGGAGTTTCAAAAAAGTAAACAGATATTTCCATGTTCCCCAAAGCAACAGAGGAACAGTCAGATCATGCAGCCCAAATGAACCATTAAGAGGACTTTGATTTTCACTGTAACCTTTAAAAGAGATCACTGAAGAGGAGGTAGAGGTTTCAAAGAACTTCGCAGCATGGAACACTAGATGTTCCTATGTGGCAGTAAGAGAAAGATATCCAGACATCCCAGAAACCATTATCTTTGGAGCAGACCCCTTCCTAACCACATTTTAGGTTTGCCTTCCTCTTTGAAAAGTGTCATGCACTTCACCCACTCCCACTTACCTGTGGGTTTCTCTAACACATTGTATCTCTTCACATACCAGGGCTCTTTCCATTGTTCCAGACACATGATCAGGTGTGGCTTAGAGACTGCAAGGCCTGTTTTGGTAGAAAAAAAAAATAACTCTCACTGGGATTCTCCAGTGACCAAAATTGTACTGTGCTCAGTATAGAAACCATTATGCAATATGACCCTTGAAAATGACCCCAAATACCGTTGCCCAACAGAACCTTTAAACACTTAGGAAGAATGTTAAATTTGTGAGTCCTTATCTCAGTGTAAATAAATAATTGATAATAGCAATTATTTTTTAGGTGTGGGCAATGATATTATATGCCACGAAATTTCTGAACTTATCACTTAATATGACACAGATCAGTTTAAAATAGGGAAAGGTTTATGTCAAATATATCACCTTAATTTTTTTCTTTTCTATGCCAAATAATCACCATGTTTTCTTTGAAAGCAAGAATTTGAAACTCATTTGTATAAAGCAGAAAATCCCAGAAAGCATTCTACAAAAAAAAAAGAACTTCACATTCTTAGTATAGAAGGGGAACAGTGTGTCGAGGTTCTCCTCACCCAGGGAAACCAGGTTTCTGTGGTTCTCTAACATCACATTCCTGTACAAAATCTGCTGAGCAGGTTCCAGGCATTTCCACTCCTCCAGAGAGAATTCTATGGCCACATCCCTGAATGTCAACAGCCCCTGAAAACAACACACATTTACCAAGTGGGGATGGGCATTATCCTTCATTGGCCTCTAGGTTAAACAAGAGTGAAGGCAACTGGTTCTAACTAATATGACATCTGGAATTAACCACTAAGATAACTTTTAACACATAATATTCTCTTAGATATTAAACACTGAGGAGGAAAAATGGAATAAAACCCAGTCATCATAGATATTTTTTATGTATATTTAATCAAATAGGATAAGCTGTATACATTGCTCAGATGGTAAACTTAGTGACTTAGAAAATCCCTCTAAAGTTTCTTTTTAGATAGAAAATATAGTTTATTTCAAAGTAATTAAGAGAGAGATTCACTTCCCCATAGTAGGAGGGGAAAGCCAGGAAACATGGTGACAGCCATAACTCAAAGTGTACATGACCACACCAGAGTCTAGCAAGGCAATGGCGGGGATGTTCTGGCGATGGCCATGGCAATGGCACTCTAAAGTTTGAATGTGTACAACAATGAACTGAATATTGTAAAAATGCAGGCTCTGATTCAGGAGGTATGAAGTAAAACCTAGAGTTTCTGCAATTTGTTTTTAGTTGATGATTTCACTCTTTCACCCATAGTTCACCAAAGGTTCAACCTCCTGGTATAAAAGGATCCACACTCCTCAACCTCTCATGTAGCTAGGACTACTGGGACACACCATGTCAAGCTGTTTTATGACTTTTTTGTAGAGATTAGGTCTGGCTGTATTGCCTAGGCTAATCTTTAATTCTTGGTCTCAAGGGAATTTCCTGCCTCTGCCTCCTAAAGTGCTGGAATGATAGGCATGAGGCACTGTGGCTGACCTGACTTTCTGCATTTCTAACAAGCTCACCAATGATATCAGTGCTTCTGGTCGAGTAAGAATATTTTGCAAACATTCACCAAGGGGCAGATCCTAGATTTATGTTAATGTGACCAATAAACAAAGACGAGAGCCTTCATTGCTAAAAGCAAACCCTATGCAAAAGAAATCTAAGAAAAAAAGAGAGCTTCCAGATTAAATGTGATAATCTTTGGTAAATATCCCCAAGGAATATATTACTCATAAAAACGTTAACTCTATAGTAAAAAAAAAAAAAAGTCAGATGTCACCTTAATCAAGAAATCTCTAATTTAAATTTTTGTTTGTTTGTTTTTAGCATCCTGGAGAGCAAGTTACAGCTAATTATTCTTCATTATACCTTCCTGGGTTATTCTGCTATTTATTTAATTATCTTTTTATTTTTGAGTTGGAGTCTCACTCTGTCACTCAGACTGGAGTGCAGTGGCTGCTACCGGCCATTGCAGCCTCGACCTGCTGGGCTCTGGCAATCCTTCTGCCTCAGCCTTCCAAGTAGCTGGAACTACAGGCACGCACTTCCACGCCCAGCTAATTGTTTTTGTTTGTTTTTTTTTCTGATTTATTGTAGAGATGAGGTCTCACCAAGTTGCCCAGGCAGGTCTCATACCCGCGGACACAGGCAATCCACTCACTTCGGCCTCCCAAAGTGCTGGGATTATAGGCTGAGCCACCAAGCCCGGCCAACTGCCAGTTATTTAAATGTGCATTTTATTAACCCTGTTCTGCATTTAGCTAGTGGAGCATCCAGATAAATCCTTAATAGTACATGTACTTGTAGTTCCAGCTACTTGGAAGGCTGAGGTCGAAGTATTTCCTGAGCTCAGCAGGTTCAGGCTACTGTGGCTGGGAGCATGCTGCTACCCTCCAGTCAGGGAAATGAGACTACAGCTCAAAAAAAGAAAAAGTACATTTTTCATCAATATCTGAAGATCTACCCCATTTCCAATAGGAATCTTGGGGAACCATGTCTTCCTATGTTTTACAGCAACAAGGGAACATTTGTAAAGTAAAAATTCATGGTGAGAACTGTTCATGGCAACTAAAACTGTGGTGTGTAGGAGAGAAGTGTTCATCAGAGTTCGTTGAATACTACAAGAACAAAAACCTATTGAAATGAACTCATTAGGCAGGACTATCACAAATAGAGAAGTAAAAGTTTGCAAATTCTAAAATCATGACATTTCAGTAAAAATAGTGGAAACAGTCCCTGACCTGGGACACAATGACATGAGTCATTTCTTCCTCTTCCTCTCCTTCATTGGGATTTCTTCTCAGGTAAGGTTATCTGGACATATTACACCTACATGTTGAGAACAAACCTTTTTACAAATAAAATTTAGTTAATCTGCCGGTCTCGGTGGCTCAGCCTGTAATCCCGTGCCTTTGGGAGACTGAGGTGAGTAGATTGCCTGATCCCGCGGGTTTGAGACCCGCCTGGGCAGCAAGACTTCATCTCTACAATAAATCAAAAAATCTGCCGGGCGTGGTAGCGCATGCCTGTAATTCCAGCTACTTGGAAGGCTGAGGCGGAAGGATCGCCGGAACCCAGCAGGTTGTAACAGTGAAACTAAAAATAATTTAAATTTCTATGTAAGAATGAACTGTTAAACATAGAATAGAATGCACCCATTCTTCAGAGTTTACTTAAAAAATTAAGTATTAGAGCCAGGCTCGGTGGCTCAGCCTGTAATCCCACGCCTTTGGGAGGCTGAGGTGAGTGGATTGCCTGAGCCCGCGGGTTCGAGACCCGCCTGGGCAGGCGAGACCTCATCTCTACAATAAATCAAAAAACCAGCCAGGCATGGTAGCGCGTGCCTGTAATTCCAGCTACTCGGAAGGCTGGGGCGGAAGGATCACCGGAGCCCAGCAGGTCCAGGCTGCGGTGGCCGGAAGCGGCCACTGCACTCCAGTCTGGGCAACAGAGTGAGACTCCAACTCAAAAAAAAAAAAAAAAAAAAAAAAGAATACAACTCAGAAACAACCACAGAAAAAAAGATATATAAGGCAAGGGACAGTTAAGGGGAGATGGGGCCCAAAAGTCTACAGTTCCAAGGCAGTTCTTAACCTCAATCCCCTTTGTTCCCCCAACATGGATTAAAAAAAAAAAAAAAAGCACACACAACGTAAGATGGGTGTATTGAACGCCAGTGCGTCATCGACTCCGTTTTTTTGTTTGTTTGTTTGTTTTTGAGTTGGGGTGTCACTGTCACCCAGGCTGCAGTGCAGTGGCATCCTCATGGCCACCACAGCGACCATCTGCTGAGCTCAGGCAATCCTTCTGCCTCTGCCTTCCAAATAGCTGGAATTTCCAGGCATGTGCTACCAAGTCTCGCTAATTTTTTATTTATGCTAGAGAAGAGGTCTCGTCAAGTTGCCCAGGCTGATCTCAAACCCGTGCGGGCTAAGGCAATTCACTCGCCTTGGTCTCCCAAAGTTCTGGGATTACAGGCCACCATGCCCAGCCATCTTCTCAGTTTTAATGGCACTCCTAAATAAAGTCAAGGCCCTTGCCCCAACTCCCTCTCTTGACTTACTGGCTCTCCTGCACACAGAATGGGGTTGTGACCTGATTACACAAATTGCCAATGACCCTGATACAGACCCAGGTAATTTTCACATATACAGTCCAAATAAGACAACTGTTTAGCCATCACACACCAAGCAACTGCACGTGGTGGGCTTCCCGCCATTTTGGTCCGAGTGATGCTCGGCTGCTCCCTTGATACCAATAAATCAAAGGGGCAGGAAACTGGTAGAAAGAACTTTATTTCTGGTCAGGCATGGTGGCTGAGGCAGAAGGATCGCCTGAGCCCAGCAGGTCAAGCCTGCAGTGACCATGAGCATGCCGCTGTACTACAGCCTGGGCGACAAGAGTGAGACTCCAATTCAAAAAAAAAAAAGAAAGAAAGAAAGAAAAGAAAAGAAAAAGAACACAAGGGGACTCTCAGTCAAGTACTCAGGAATGTGCGGGAGTGCTTGGACCCCCGCCATGCCCTTCTCTAGGGGCTGTGGAAATGAGGAAAACCATTCATGGGTCTCTGCATCACCCCTGCCCCTTCTCAAAACCTTTCCCCCAGGCCCTCCGGGACCCCCACGCCACCAGCCCTCGCTGGAGATTCAGGACTCACGATCCGCTGCTGGCCCAAGGGGACTCCTTCCCCTTGTGTCGGAGACTCCGTGTGCCCTTGGGGAGGGGAGAGGGGCGGGGGACAAGACCACAGCTCTCCCACCAGCCCCACATGCAGGTGGGATCCTCCCCAGGACCCCTCCCCCCTGGCGCCCCGCACACCCGGAGCGTGGGACTGAGAGAAGCTTCCCAGAAAAGGATCTCACGGATGAGGATGCCATGGGGACGAGAAGCCAATCACGACCCAGCACCACATGCACGGACAGGATGGGACCGAGTCGCCGGCGGGACGTTCACTCGCCGCAGGCACGTCATCCGGGTCCATCTCCCTTCCCCCTCTGGCTTCTGCCCACATACTCACCATCTCCAGCCTTCCGGGTGTCCCGGCATCCTCCCTACGGAGTCCCAAGACCTGAAGTTCACAAGGCGACACAGGCTGCAGCAGACCCACCGCGGACTCCTGGACCGCAAAACCGAGCAGCGGGGACGACTGAGCTCTGTGCGCAGGCGCAAGAGTCAAAGCCCAGTCAGAGCCCGGAAGCCAGTCCCGTTCTTCCGGCTAGTATCTGATTGGGTAGTTCCCACCACGGCATCCTCTGATTGGAAAAGGTTCCAGGGCCCACCCCTCTGCCTTTGAGTGACAGGAGATGCAATAAGACATGGTCTGTCTGAGTCGAGAAAAGCAGGGTTTTTTGGGGTTTTTTTTGAGATGGCGTCTCACTGTCTTTCCCAGGCTTCAGTGCAGTGGCACGCTCACGGCCACCCCAGCGTCGACCTGCTGGGCTCCGGCGGTCATTCTGTCTCAGCCTTCCAAGTAGTGGGAACTACAGGCGCGCCCTACCACGCCTGCCTAACTTTTTTTATTTATTGTAGAGATGAGGTCTTGCCAAGTTGCCCAGATTGGTCTGAAATCCGCCGGCTCAGGCAATCCACTCGCCTCAGCCTCCCAATGCGCTGGAATTACAGGTTAAGGCACCGAGCCCAACCAAAGAGCAGGATTTTTTTTTTTTTTTTTGAGTTGGAGTCTCACTCTGTCACCCAGAGTGGAGTGCAGTGGCCGCTCCCAGCCACCTCAGCCTGGACCTGCTGGGCTCTGGCGATCCTTCCGCCTCAGCCTTCCAAGTAGCTGGAATTACAGGCGTGTGCTACCAAGCCCGGCTAATTTTTTTGATTTATTGTAGAGATGAGGTCTCTCCAAGTTGCCCAGGCGGGTCTCGAACCCGCAGGCTAAGGCAATCCAATCACCCCAGCCTCCCAAAGCGCGGGATTAAAGCCTGAGTCACCGAGCCCAACTAAGAGCAAGTTTTTGCATGCAACATTTTGAAGCTGAGAGTCCTTCCGGCACCAGCATCTGGTCATGAATGGTGACATTCGCTTTGACATTGTTTATAATAGGATATCCATTTATGAATAATATCCACACAGCACATAGAGGAATGCTATTCATAAATGGAAACAATGTACTGACGATTATTTTAAGTTTCAGATTTTATAACTGTAAGGGTAAACTGAGGTACGGTGGTGCTGGGGGAATTATGCACGATTGCAGCAGAGTAAAAAGTGTTTTTGTTTGTTTTTTGTTTTTGAGTCAGAGTCTCACTCTGTCGCCCAGTCTGGAGGGCAGTGTCATGCTTACGACCACTGCAGCCTTGACCTGCTGGGTTCAGGTGATCATTCTGCCTCAGCCTTTCAAGTAACTAGAACTACAGGCACACGCCACTCTGCTTGGCTAATTTTTCTTTTTTTATTGTAGAGATGAGGTCTCGCCAAGTTGCCCAGGCCGGACTCAGACCCATGGGCTCCGGCCATCCTCTCACCTCGGCCTCTCAAAGTGCAGGGATTATAGGCATGAGCACCGTGCCAGGACTGAAAGTAAAGTTTTTATTCACCCTTCACAGATGGAAAGGTGGCTGGCACTCAAGCGAGTGTGGCATAGTAGACTGGAAGTCAGGTGTATTTAAGGTCTCCAAAGCAAGGCTTTAAGTTATGGAGGGGGTTAGACCTGGAGGAAGTCTGGTCCAAAAGGAACATCCAGAGTTGCATTCTTTGCTTTCCACAGCAGTTGCATGAATCTTGTATTCTTGACATTTCCAGACATCAGCATCTCATGACCTCAGGTGGTGGGCCAGGGTGGTCATGGTTGAGTGATACCTGGAAGTCATAATGGATGACTGACAACAATATTGATATGAATGTCTGGAAGATAGGCTGTTAGTAAGTCTGGACATGCTTAAAGGGTTTGGGGTAATCACTGGTATCTAAAACCAAGGGGTTTTCTTTTATTTATTTATTTATTTATTTTAGCGATGAGGTCTTACCAAGTTGCCTGGGCTTTCTTGAACCTGTCGGCTCAGGCAATCCACGTATCTCAGGCAATCCACTTGTCTCGACCTCCCAAAGTGCTGGGATTACAGGTTGAGCCACAAAGCCCAGTCAACCAAAATATTTTCTTGTTAATGATTTTAGGGCAAAAGAATATGTTGCTCAAGCAAGCTGTGCTACCTTAAACTAGATATATTCTATGTTTCTAGGGATCTCTCCCTTCAACAGCCTTCCTTGTTTCTAGGTCTTCTGAGGAGGCAGACTGGGCTTTTAAAAGGGAAGTAATTCTCTTGGACAATAATATCCAGAGAAAATGCAAGACATTCATGCCACTTAAAATGTAGCCACATTTTCAAAAAGGAAAAGAAAGGAATAATATTATTGCCTAAAAATGGACCCAAGAAAAAGTGTCAATGAAGTTTCTTTTGGGAACTATATCTTTGAAAATCAATCACCCTTTGGGAGGTTGAGGTGAGTGGATTGCCTGAGCCCGCGGGCTCGAGACCACCTGGGCAACTTGACAAGACCTCATCTCTACAATAAATCCAAAAAAAAAAAATCAGCCGGGTGTGGTAGTGCATGCCTGTAATTCCGGCTACTCAGAAGGCTGAGGCGGAAGGATCGCCAGAGCCCAGCAGGTCGAGGCTGCGGTGGCCGGGAGCAGCCACTGCACTCCAGTCTGGGCGACGGAGTGAAACTCCAACTCAAAAAAAAAAAAAAAGAAAATCAATCACTATCTTAAGCTTCCAGTATGTCTTATTTTAGACCAGATAATTCCAAACTCCATAGGCCCAAGTAGCCCATGGCTGCCACACTGACATGCAGCTGGGAGGTCTCTGACTCCCGTGACCTCAGAGAAGTGAAAGACCAGAACAATTTTTTTCTTGTAGAGGCAAATACACCCTTTTTACCATAATTTCTCCTCGGGCTCACAGGTGAAAAAAAATGCCTGTTCACATGTAGACTACTGCCTTACATCTGATTCTCTGTGGGGGCTCACTCACCTTCCAGAAATTATACGGTGTACCAAGTGTAAGGAACTGAGACCAAAGTGGTCCATTTTCAAGACTAAGTAGATATCTCTGGGTGGAGTATTACTACCAGTGAAAATTCCTTATGGCCTGAAGAGGTGACATGGTCCATGTATCTGGGAGGTCTCTAAGCCATCAGGATTTTGCAAGAGGGATACACTAGTCAGAAAGCCTTAACAGGACAGTTACCCTCCCACACCCATCAGCATAGCCCCACAAGAAGTCTGCCAAAACGAATACGATTCTGACCAATACCACATAAACCCACCATTAGGGATGGGATATGACACATTATTGAATCTAGCACCCAATAAGGGAAATAAAAAAACCTAGCTGACTTTTAGTAAGATTGTAACCCAAGTCAGGCTCTGTGGCTCAGCCTGTAATCCCATGCCTTTGGGAGGCTGAGGTGAGTGAATTGCCTGAGCCC